ATAAAGTCTTGATATCATGTATCACAATCGACGATCACTCACTCTCTGGCAATGAAAGAAATCCATCATGATCTTGTTTACCAACACCTGTTACTGTCACACACTATGGGGCCTCACCAGCTCTTCAAAACACAATCCCTGATTTACTGCACAAGGGGTTGTACTGGCAATGACCTGCTTGAAAAAACCAACAGATCCCACAAACGAAAAATTTGGTAGAGTGAAAATGTTAAAATTCGAGATATTAACACCTACTGCTGTGCCCTCTTTGTTTACAAATTTATTAATCACTTGTAGCAGCAATTATTTCCAGTTCCGCAATAATCGGGAATACAGCTCCAAGAGCTACTAAGACCACCCCCCATGCGCTCCTCTCAGTCCCAGACCTCCATAAAATATGGTGTGAAGGTGTGTGGAACAATCTACCCTCACCCATTCGAGCAATGACTACGCTCCCTTCCTTTAAATCATCTCTTTAAAAATATCTTGTAATACCTACTATATATACATTACCTGCTTTTATTGTACCATCAAAACCGTTTTATCGGAAATTATAATGTAAATAGATAAGAAATAACCATTGCAACAAATATATTTGCCAACTAGACATAATCCTGACAGCTCTGTCCTCTTGTTCAACCTTAATACTGTACAACCCATGTTGTACTGCTTCCCTATTATATTTATGTTTTTCAATTCCACTGTAATTTATGTATAACTAGCAGAATCGCTGCCCTCCGGGCGGCTCCACATTGTCTTACTGTTCAGTCCCCAAAACTTCTTCTTCCATCAATAGTTCATTAACGGTGTATGTAAGTTCAACCATATTTTTCACTACAACAGTACAGCAAAGTATATTTTTTTAGCATTAAACTGTTATTATTTTATTGTCTAATCATCATTTCATATAACATTACCCATCATCATTACATATAACATCATCCATCATCACTACATATAACACCATCCATCATCACTACATATAACACCATCCATCATCACTACATATAACACCATCCATCATCACTATATATAACAATATCCATCATCACTACATATAACATCATCCATCATCACTACATATAACACCATCCATCATCACTACATATAACATAATCATCCATCATCACTACATATAACACCATCCATCATCACTACATATAACACCATCCATCATCACTACATATAACACCATCCATCATCACTACAGATCGGTAAAGTAGTTTCCGAGATTCTCGTGTGGACACACACACACCCAAACAGACATACTTCTTTGTTTTATATAGATAGATAGATCATCACTACATATAACATCATCCATCATCACTACATATAACATCATTCATCATCACTACATATAACACCACCCATCAACACTACATATAACACCACCCATCATCACTACATATAACAACATCCATCATCACTACATATAACATAATCATCCATCATCACTACATATAACACCATCCATCATCACTACAGATCGGTAAAGTAGTTTCCGAGATTCTCGTGCGGACACACACACAAACACACAGACATACATCTTTGTTATATATATATATATATATATATATATATATATATATATATATATATATATATATATATATATATATATATATATATATAAAATAGATAATTATTGAAGTGACAACCGTGGTGACATTCCGATATATTCTTGTTACCATCATGCTATTGAACTATTCCAGATGTTACTAAATGTTACATAATACTTCAATACTTCCTTGAGATAAATGTACGAGTATAGTATATATTATCAGGTGCCTAAAGAGAGGCCAGGTTCTCAACTGGCTCAGCCATGTTAATATTGTTATTATTATCCACACTGTATCTGTGTTTTTCTGGCTAAATAGACTGTTTCAATTCAATTTAAATAGCGACTAGGGTAGCGATGCCTTTAGACGCATTTGAGTCATGTGACGCCTTATGGTCGTAACCTCGTGATTGATACATTTGGAGTCTATTATAGTGGGCCTGAGAAACTGCGTCGCATTGGGCCTGAGAAACTACGTCGTACTGCGGCGTCTCACAGCCATGGCCGCGTGATAGAGGCGAGGGTGGCGTCACATGACTCAATGTCGCATGATCTATCCATATGGAATTAATTCTAGCGAGCCTGGGAAACTGATGGGGGTGATCCGTGGCATCAGCAGACCTCGTACACAGTATCGAACCTACTATTAGTTATGCAAATATTCTATCTCAATATTGTCTGATTCTTATGTATAATAGTAAAATTAAATAACACTAATAGCTAAATTAAATAACAATCTTGTGATGGCGTCTTACACCAATACCAACATTGGTTTAGTATCGTCACCCACTAACGCCAACAGTGGCCTAGTGTGTCACCCACCAACACTGGTCGAGTAAAATACTATGACAAGCATGGGTGAAGGGAGATCAATCCCTCGTTCGACCTACTGCTATTTAGGTCCCGCCTCAGGTCACTAAGCTTCGTTCTTGTTGTCTTTGGTCCTCATTGCCCCATTCCTTCTTTAATACTGCTGATCTTATGACTTACTATTCTTGGTCTTTTTACTGACTGTCTTTATGAATGGTTTTTTTCTGTTTTGAACTTTCTTCTCTCTGTTTACTATTTTGTCGTTTCCTGAGTTTACACACGGGGAACTGTGTGTCACGATATGTGTGACACACACGGGACAGCCTGCTGACACCTGATCGGTATGTTTTTATTGGCTCCCGTGTTGTTGTGTTTGTATTATCAGTTCAGTGTGGGCGTTTTATGTAATGATACTTTTGAAATCTGACGTTTGTGTGTTTTATGTTTTACTTCATTCACTTTTAAAGGTCATGGAAACACGACATAATTATAGCACATTACGTCTAAACAAGGGCACTGTAAACGCCTCAGTTAAGGACGTTCAGGTGACGGGCAAGTCGAAGGGAATGATTGAAACCCGTCTTTTGACGCATTCAATAATTATTGATGTGGTCAAAACCTGCAGAGAACAAGGCGTTCATTAGTATTACATGGTGATCTATCTGATACATAATTAGTTAGTCTCAGACGATTTCATCTTAAATTACAATTGATTATTAAGCATAGTGACATGATACAAAGTTCATAACTCTATTAATCTTAGTTACACTTCAATCCGCATTGTCTTATTTCTCCAGATAAGGCAGAAACGAGTAGGCATAATTAGTCCACAATATTTCAGTACTGAGGGGCATGTCATCACTTTGGCTGTACTTACAAGTGCGGGTCACTGCGGACCAGTATGGTTTTCCAAGGGACAATAGTACTGTGTAAACTGTTCCAGCGCAAAACTCGGCCAGGATTGGGAGTCGGTGTTTACTACAGAGGGCTGGTGGCTGCATGATCCTCACAGCAGTGGCTTCATGGTCCTCACAGCATCACTTGAGAAGGCGATCTGCATCATGGAGGCCAGGCGGCCACGCCACCCTTTAAAACCATACTCTCAGCAGAATCAGGGCATCTTGTTTGTGCAGGTCGCGTGAGTGGGGCGGCGGCTCAAGTGGTCGCAGGCTGATAGATTGAATGTTTGTTCGGGTAAGGCAATGCCAGCACTGTAGTTGAAGCCAGCGGCGATAACAGGCACGTAACATCTTGTCTCTGCAGCCTACCTCTTTCACGGTACAAGTATTTTCAGGGATCTACAACGCTTTAGTGCCCTTACAGTTACTGACCTGACGTAGATCACAGCTTTTGAATACTGTACTGTCTGCACTGATCAGCAAGGGTGTTGGCTGTAGTCGTGGTGTAGCGAGTGTGATAGTAGTAACAGCTTTTTAGTAATAGCCTAGTGAGGGTCTGAGTCCAAGCGTTGCGTGTCTTGACTGAGAGCTTAAGTGCTGATAAAAGTATTTGATTTTTTTTTTTATGTGACCACCCGGGCACAGGTCATCGACCCACAACGGGGCCTGGGAGCGAAAAATATAAGAATAGAAAGAAATTAAAATAGAAAAGAAAGTTATATTAATCTCCACCACGAAGATGCTGGAAAACCAGCTTTTCGAAGTGAGACAGAGTGTATGAGTTTGGAAACACAGAAGAAGGCAGAGCATTCCACAGTTTGGCTGTGTGAGGAAAGAAGGGTGTAATATAATGGGTTATTCTAGTGTGACCGACATCCACAGAGAAATAGTGGGCACCGCGGGCAAGACTTGTGTTACGAGCCCACGGCCTCGCCAGCGGTACACAGGATGCCATATCCACCGAACATTGCCCGTTAAAGCACCTGTAAAGGAGAGAGAGTGAAGCAAAATTGCGGTGAAGAGAAAGGGAAGAAAGATTATCAGCTAAAGGAGGAGAGTTAATAAGATGAAATGCCTTTGATTCCACCCTATCTAACAGTTGGACAGAAGAAGAGCCACCCCAGATATGAGAGCAGTACTCCAAGTTAAGACGAATGAATCCCTTATACACTTGAAACAACTGCTCAGGAGTGAAATAGCTACGGCATCTGCCCCAGCTTTCGGGAGGCAACTTTAGCAATGTTGAGGATGTGTGGCTTCCATGGCATATTAGAGGAAATGGTGAGGCCTAGCAGATCTAGCTTGAGGTTGGACATAATTAGTTGTTGTGTTTTTTTTTTTTTTTTGTTTTGGTTTTTTTTTGTTTTTTGTTTTTGTGGTGTGGTGGTAATTAGTCCACAAAATTTCAGTACTGAGGGGTATGTCATCACTTTGGCTGTTCTTACAAGTGCGGGTCAATGCGAACCAGTATGGTGTTCCAAGGGACAATAGTACTGTGTAAATTGTTCCAGCACAAAACTCGGCCAGGATTGGGAGTCGGTGTTTACCACAGAGGGCTGGTGGCTGCATGGTCCTCACAGCATCACTTGAGAAGGCGATCTGCCTCATGGAGGCCAGGCGGCCACGCCACCCTTTAAACCATACACTCATCAGAATCAGGGCATCTTGTTTGTGCAGCTCGAGTGGGGGGGCGTGTGGTCCCAGGCTGATAGATTGAATGTTTGTTCGGGTAAGGCAACGCCAGCACTGTAGTTGAAGCCAGCGGCGAAAACACTTATATAGGTATTGTACTGAGGTATTGTACTGAGGTTTAGAGGTGTCTGGCTAGATAATCGACAAAGAAATACAGTATTGTGAATCGTGACCACGGGACTCATTTCATAAGTGATAATATGTGCATAAAAGAACCTGAAGACTTAGTATGTACACTGTACAGTATATTGAGCCGATATGGATTATTTTGGAAAATTGTGGAAGTTAGGATTCACTTTATATACTAGATATGAAAATGAGGATATGAGTAAGAATCGGCAAATATTTTTACCTGTTTATCCATTTTTGTCCTCTTGCACCACTCTAGATATCATTTCCCCCTTTAAGGTGTCTTAAAGAAGGATAAGAGGAGAGACAAATGATACAACAAGGGGTTTTGGTAAAATGCAAATAAAAAGGGATAATAAGATATAAGAAAAATACAGTTTAGAGAAACAGTAGATAATGAGACTTACCAAAAAGATAGACGTGAGTGAGAAGGGTAACAATAGACTGAAAAAGTGTAATGAATTCCTCAGGAGCAAAAGTACCAGTTCTCCAATTGCACTGTACAACTAAATGGATTTTATTATATATCTATTTTTGTAGATTCCCTCACAGGCCAACTCTGCTAGTAGCGTCAGAGGGGAACCCATTTAATAAGATGGTCATAAAGGAAGATCTTGAAACTACCGGGGAACCGAGGATCAAGTTCAAAGGTCCCATACCAAATCTGCTTGACTACCTCGCCAAAGCCCTAAATTTCTCGTAAGTTAATTCTTCCTTAAACTCACCAATGTTCCTGGAAACATGTAAGATAACACAGGTAAAATTTTTAAAGAGAGTCTCTTTACACACAGCGCTCTGCCCGCTAACTGCTGAAGGTAGCGCCGCTGTTGCTAAAAAATTTAAAAGTTGCGCCCTAACTTTGATTTTGTTGTTAAAGTTTATCTTTGTACTGTAAAGTCCTAAGCCTTTCAGTCTGAAAATATATCCATTATAGTAATAAAAACTCAGAAATCTAATTTTCTTATTGTATTTAAGTGAAAACGTTATTTAATGAGGTTAAATGAAATATATATATTTTTTTGCAGTTTTGTAGAAATCTTTGTTATACACAGAGTTCTTGTAAGCCAACACCAGAAAAAGTCTTGTATTGTTAGAGAAGATAATTTATATTGTTCTTCATTATTTTTAGTTTGTTTCCATGCTTTTCATTTGACCGCCTTCTCACTTTAATGTCTCGAAGCCGTGACATTTGAAACATTAATGATCTTCACAATAACAGCATATGAGAGTTCCTGACCTCAGTCATTGAGTTACAAAATAAAGAGAAACTCGACTTTCACCGGGCGGTATTTGAACCACATTTTCTCATAGAAGTCAATGTATTGTCTAAAAAAAAAATACAAATATATAAGCATGAGCCTAAATTCATGTGAATTTTTAAGAGTTATATATCATATAAACTATATTTATATAAAAATATTTGCAAGTGAGTGAAGCTCTTCTAATACAAAACAGCCGACCGTGAATGATTCCATGTAACTCTAAACTCCGTTATAGAGCCGTCAGGGAGTGGATATACAATGAACATGGCATATGTCATGCTGAGTTAATATGGAGCTTCACAAAGTGTAAAACAAATTTAAAATAATTTTTTCTTTAGTTTGTTCAATAACTGTTTTTCGAAGAGCGTTATAGTGCCGTGTAACATTGCTTGTTGATAATGCAAAATATGGCGGAAGTTTTAATTAACACAAACTTACATTTTATGCTACAGTTATAGATATGTGAGGCCTCCTGATAGGTTGTGGGGCGTCAAGCTTGACAATGGGTCCTGGAATGGCATGGTGGGCATGGTGATGAGGGAGGTAAGTGTAGTGAAGCACCAGAACTAACGATGGGTCCTGGCCTGACTTGGTGAGTATAGTGAACAGGGAAGGGAGTATCAATCAATCAGAGTACCGTCCTCATTAGTCCTGTAAAATTAGCTCGAAAATAGACAAATGGTGGAAAAAGTTTATATTAAGATGAAATTTTGCATACATACTCCTGAAGGCTATAGAAATCAAGATCAAAAGAGTTCCGCTCCGTCCGGTGGGAGAATTCCCCCTTCTTTTGGCTCCAAGCGCTGACCAAAATGGGGATTCTGATTACTATTTTGCATTTTCCGGCTAAACTATGCATTAAACGATAATATTTTATGTGGATAAAAAAAAACATTGGAAATATGATTTGAAACAAGATTGTTTCCATTCATTTCCCCATAGGTGTTACAGTTGTTGTGTAATCCATGTCTTAATTCGGGGGAAACTTTTTGCGTGTAGTGAAAAAATTACATTCGCGCAAGGTTTTCGGCAAATAACTCAAAAACGCTTAGTTTTTCATTACAAACGCATATATAGGTAGTGTAACTTAAATTATAGAGCAGAAAATTCTCTATTCGAATAAGTGACAATAAAATTTGTGTAAAAATTTTGAGGCCTTTCCTCAATCACTCCAAAATTTTTATTTTCTAGGTATGACTTAGAAAACTGCTGTGTTACCTGAGTGAAACTACTTGCATTAAATCAGTATGGCGTCCGCAAGTGATTGTTTTTACTGTGGTAAAAATTTAACAGATGGAAAAACAGTGGTTGTAAAGGACGGCATAAAGAACTTAAGACGTATTAGTCAAATCCGAAAAGACGGTCATTTGGAAAAATATATAAAATTGGACACCATTGAAATGCACATGGTGTGCAGACGTGAGCACATCAAAGAAAAAAAACATTGCCAGGGATTTAAAAAAAAAAGCAGAATCTAGTAAACAGAATCAGTGTACTATATTCCGATCACAAGAACAATTTTATTTCAAAGGATTTTTTTTTTTGGGTGAAAAATGTGACATTCTTGCGGAAAAAAAGCCTGCATGGAAACGCCAAGTAATTAACGAGGTTCGAACTTTGACTCTGAAATATAGACTATTGAAGAATGCTGAACAAAGGAACGACGAATGGGATGAGAAGATGTTGAGGCGATTAAAAAGTGGGATTAGTCTTGTAGCAGAAGCCCGCTATCACGGAATAAGCTTATCCAAATCTGCATGCAACCCGCCATTAACTCAAAAAAGAGGACGCCCACAAGATGATAACATGACTTCTGCTAACGAAAAGCTCTTCGCCTTTATTGATGACTCTGACGAATACCAGTTTTCTTTGTATGATTTGATGAAGAAATTCGATGAATATTAGCCAGAAGACACGACGATGACTGAGAAAACGCTGAAAGCAAAATTAACAATCACTACGGTGATGGTGTCATGTTTTCAAAAAATAGAATATCACCAGTTGCTTGTTTCCATAGCTCTGGTCTTAAACTGATTAATTCATGGTACAGTGAAATAAAAACTAATGGGAATGATGAGCGCTCGCGAATCGTCGAAGCTGCAGCAACTACTGTATAGTCCGAGGATATTAGGACAACTGCTTATAACACTAGGGACTACCCTGATATTACAGACTTTATGAAGGTGGCAGCACATGGTGTGGTTGAAGAAACATTACATGCACTTTTGGACACCGTTATCCTGAAAAGCAGAAAAGGCGAAAAAGAAAAGGTAGCAAAACAGTGTAGTGCAATTGCCCATTCTCTAATTACTGCAGCAAGACAGCACTCATTTTTATCTTCCATACTGCTTGGTCTCTCGGTGTATCTATTTCGGAAGGAGTAGCTTCTAAAAGCATTGTCAATGCAGTGTTAAATTTGGGATTTTGTTCAAATTATAATGTGTTGCATTGTTCCAGTCATCAGTTGTTAAATCTTGGAAACCTGATTTGGAAAAAAGGTTTTGTCAATATGTATTTACAATGGAGACTTCAATTTAAAAACCCTAACTGGTAAAGGATCATTTCACTCGATGGGTGGAATAAATGCATAACACCAGCAGAGAAAGTAACTAGTCAGGATATTACCAAATTGCAAACCATCCCTTCTTCAAAAGAGCTAGCAAGCATTGGACAAATGGAAATACAAACTTTTTAGAGGAAAACGATATGCTGGGTTGAATGAAATGAAACTGCAAAAGGTGTAAAATGATGAAGCTTGTAAGAATGTCACAATGCCTTCGACCCAGGATGTTCTTTGGATGTACGGAGAATCTTTGCAGACACACTCCTTTCCATCATGACAAGGTTTTATGGGGGCCATGATGGGTACGCTGCCATAAGAAAAGTCAAAGGTTCTTGCATTACCTTTTGTTAATCTACCTCCAGCAGAGTACAACACAATACTAACTGAACTGAAATTTTCAGCTAAAGAAATAAAGAAATCTAAAAAAAAAACATGTTTTGTGACATTCGATTAACCACTATACAGTACATGAGGGCTAAGGATATAATGTCTTCAGGAAATGAAAATCATGAAGGTGAACTTTCAGATATTGTTGTGAGATTGGGGGGATTCCATCTCTTAATGTCATATCTTAGGGCAATTGGCTACATTATGGGAGACAGCGGAATTTCGGGACTATGGTCTACAATATTTCCTTCTTCATCTGTACCTCACATCTTTTCTGGCCACACCTATGCACGAGCCATTCGAGCACATTTATTAACTTACTGCTCTTTGGCCAAGATCATGTTCCCAGAAGTCATTGTAAAAAACACTGGCAAACAACATGCACAACAAATTCTCACTAATTTTAAAGAACTGCCCCCAACACTTGACTCAGTAGAAATCGATGATTTACTTAAAGAGCTTCATATGCATCTAGTAAATCACACAACATCAGTGAAGCAAAAAGGAAGACAGCACAATTATGGCTACAACATTTTGATCATGTGACTGTTGCTTTGCATTTCATCCAGGCAGAGGGCATGGGAAACTGGAAGCTTCATTTAGATTGCATTAGAGCTATGCTTCCTATTTTTCATGCACGTGGACATTTTCTTCATGCCAATTCCTGCCAGCTCTACATCCAAGATTTGGATTCTCTTCATCTCAAGATGACAGTCGAGGAGTTTCATGAATTCACATCAGAGAGTTACTTTACAATTCGACGTTCAGACAAGTACTGGAGTGGTGTATGGTCTGATATGACTATCGAGCAGACTTTAATGAAAATATGAAGAGTATTGGAGGCATCACTCACGGAAGAGGATTCACAGAGAGTGTTCTGAATCAATGGATCTTTGGTTTACCAGTAGCTCACCACGTATGCGAGAATGTGGAAGAGTTTTGTGGGATCCAAAATAGCAGTAGTTTTCAGCATATCGAATTGAGAGACTCGAGGATTGAGAAGGACGAAGAGGCTCTTCAGAAGTTTGTTGTATGGCTTCAGCAACATTCCCCATTCATCCTCACAGAAGACCTCGTTTCGTTGTCCAGTAGTCTGGTTGAAACTGAAAACATAAACTGCTACAAAGCTCTAGATGTTGGCAATAAATTGATGGATGAAGCCATTAAAGGCAAAGACACTTTTGGAGATAAGAACATAAGAACACAAGAATGGGGGAAACTGCAGCGGGCCTATCGGCCCATACTGGGCAGTCCCATTTACACCCAACCCTTATTGCTCATATATCCATCCAACCTATGCTTGAAGCTATCCAGAATATTCGAGTTAATGATGATATTTGGTAACCTGTTCCAGTCATCCACTACTCTATTTCCAAACCAATGTTTACCTATTTCGCGCCTAAATCTAAATTTATCTAATTTAAAACCATTGTTAGGTGTTCGCTCCTGGTTGGATAGTTTGAGTACCTTTGTAATGTCCCCTTTGTTCAGTCCTGACTTCCATTTATACACCTCGATCATGTCGCCCCTCACTCTACGTCTCTCAAGGGAGTGCAAATTAAGATGCTTTAACCTGTCTCTGTACTCAAGGTTCCTAATTCCATGGATTAGTTTTTTCATTCTCCTCTGAATTCTTTCCAAGGATTCTATATCCATTCTGTAATGCGGTGACCAGAATTGAAGTGCTTAATCCAAGTGAGGTCTCACAAGCGCAAGATATAGTTTTAAGATGACCTCGCTAGTCTTGTAAGTAACACTCCTTTGTATGAACTCAAGTACTTTATTAGCTTTGTTTCGAGCAAATACATATTGTTTGCTTGGCTTAAGATTCCTACTTATCATTACTCCTAAGTCTCTCTCGCAGTCGGATTTCTCAATAACATCGTTGTTCATCTGGTATCTGGTTTCCCTGTTTACATCTCCTATACTGAGTACTTTACATTTGTCCACATTGAATTTCATTTGCCATTTTTCAGACCATTCGAAATTTTTTTTTAGATCTTCCTGTAGTTTTGCGGAGTCCTCGTCAGATTGATTTACACGTCCTATTTTAGTGTCATCAGCAAATTTACTTATGTTGCTGTCTATGCCGATATCTATGTCGTTTATGTGTACAATAAATAATAATGGTCCAGGTACTGAGCCTTGCAAAACTCCACTAGTGATGTTGCTCCACTGGGATTTAGTGCCGTTAATGCTCACTCGCTGTCTTCTGTCCTGTAACCACACCCTAATCCATTTTAGAATATCACCTTTAATGCCATGAGCCTCCACTTTTCTTATTAGTCTTTCGTGGGGTACTCTGTCGAAGGCTTTGCTAAAGTCGAGATATACCACATCATAATTGTGCCCCTCGTCCACTGATTCGAAAACTGATGAAAAGAATGTTAATAGATTAGTTAGACATGAACGCCCTCTTGTGAAGCCATGTTTTCGAATAAAGTTTGAAATGATTGCTTCCAGTAATTTGCCTACAATTATTGTTAGACTGATTGGACGGTAGTTAGAGGATAGTGAGCTATCTTCCTTCTTGAAAATCGGTATTACATTCGCTATTCTCCAGGATTCTGGTTCTACACTTGCTTTTAAGGAC